TCTACAGGGTACTTCAGACCTAGCAATTCATTCAGCTTAATCATTCCCTTTCTATTATGTGGAAAACTTGAAACTAAGCAGTCGCAATCAGTTTGTTCTCCTGGAGATTAAAATCAGCCATGATGAGGGAAGGAAAAAAAATAGTTCTCTATGATGTCCAGTTGTAAATAGTTTCGTTATAGAGGTGTTAATATTGACAAGCCATCTCTTGCCCCAGTTAACAACTGATTGAAGTTCATTTGACAGTTTTACTGTATCAATTGGAAATTGATTGCGTTGGGAGGTACGTTGATGAAAGTAGAAATCATTATAGGTCCAAGGATATAGTTTTCGGGGTACCTCGCAATAATATAAAAGGATCATAAAAGAATGGCCGTTCAACACATTTTCCTTTTTCGTTAAGAAAAATAAGACCAAATTGAATATTCATCCAGAGCCACCATGTACGTTCCATTTGTGAAGACGGACATGGTGTCAAATGTCTTTGAGATATCTAAAGCCAATGACTGAGCCAAACCGTTCTTAGCTAAAGTTTAATAGACAAATTCAGTAATAAGTGTTAGTTGTCGGGAAAATTACACGACTGTGAAATCTGGAACAAAATATATCAATTAATCCAATAGAAATTCTTATCACAATTACTCATTATATTTCAAAAGCCCTCGAAGTCGGAATCTGAAAAATGTCATCTAAAAAAAAAAGAAAAAAAAAGGGTCTTGAATTTGACCCAGTTAACATCTGAAATCGTATACTTTAATTATAAATTTGAAAAAAAAAATGGCGCATTGAAAAGTTTCTCGTCGGTACTTTGAAGAAAATACGCGGGAATGGGAGAAAATACGTGGGAAACTTGAGAGATATGACGACGGTCCAAAAGGAATGTTATACGGAAACATTTTCGCGCTATCGTTGTACTATTTATCAGCTATCTCAAGCTTTAAAATGGAAAAAAAGTGAATTATGATAGACTAGTATTGACTCAAGCTCTGATAGAAAATGCGACAACAAAGTCTGAATGGTATCCTAAAAGCTAAATTAAGTATTAAGAAATAGAAACAAAGAAAAGAGTGTTTTTAGGTAACATAATGAGGATTTCCCCTATATGGCAATTAATTCTGAACAACTTCCTTACAGATAAAGAAGAGACTTGAGGCCTGGATATGGATTTTTTTTAGGAGTTCATTAACGCACTAAAACAGAACTGTACTTAAGACAAGGATGTGTCTTCTCACCGGATTTAGTCAATCATTACAGTGTAGCGATCCTGGGAATACTAGAAGTCCTACCAGGATTTATTAATGGTGAACAATCTTAAGAAAATAAGTCATAAAAATGACGCTCTCTTCATAGCAGACGCAGAAAATAAACTGCAGGAAAACGAGAAAAAGCACAAATCATCAGGTGTACGAAAACAGAATGTATGGTTTTCAAAAACAGGAGCAGACCAAGATGCTGACTATGGTTTGGTGATGCCAAAATCAAGCAAGTAAGAGAATTTAAAAATTTAGGGAAGGAAAAAATTACCACAGAAATCCGAAAGCGCATTTGAATAGCGAAAGATGCCTTTTGAATGCTAAGCTAAATGTCATTATGAATAAAGAAATGAGTGCTGATCTGTTGTACGATATCGGATCTCCAATATGGCAGCGAATTCTAGACCATCACAGAAGAGATGAAGAAGAGACTCGAGTTATGTTCTTAAATAAAATCTCCATTGACTTCAACCACGGCAAGAAGTGTTTTAACAGAGGACGAAAAACATAACGCATAAATCTAAAGCCGAATTGGGATAAGGAAAGATGCCTTCCAAAAGATTTTTTTAAGCATTCAACCCCAAGCAAGGCGGGAAGCCACTAGCATGCAAAGGGTTACAGAGAGTTGGAGCGAGAACAAATAGGAGTGATAGAGGAAAGGATGAAGAGAAGGATAGGGGATGGATCAAGGCATCTGGAGACGTCGATTGACATTACATTTGAAAAGTTGGAGATTATAACTATCAGGGAAACAAGAAATGGGGAGGGAGTTCCACAGGCGAGAAGTGCGAGAAATGAAGCTATTGCAGTAGAAGAGACGGCTACATTTAGCAGTTTCGACAGTGAAAGGGTGAGAGCGAGATGCCAACTTAATTGAACGCTTAAATTCATGAAGTCTGGGAATCAGCGAAAGCAGTTTATCGGAGCAGTTACCGTGAAAGTATTTGTAAAAAAGACTAAGGGAGGCAACGGTACATCTGTGAGAGAACGGAAACAAAGTATTAAGAAACAGGAAAAAATTTCGTTAGAAACAAAGAAAAGAATATTCTTGTATTATGTCGGACAATTGTTCTTTGTTGATACAGATGTTATTTTAGATTGAACTTTTCAACCACGTACACTCTGGCCTTCATCAGCTGTCCATTGGTTAGCTGATACGGGATATCTGTTGATTACTGTGATATTTTGTCCCTGCCATATCAGTTAATATTCGTTCTTGTTGAATTGATAATTCTGCATGTTGCTTTAGTTTGTATATTACTCAAATGCCAATACCGTATAAATAATGGATAATTTTGTTTTTGATCGTGGGGAAAGATAGAAAAGACATGCCCTTCTCTCTTTCCACCTCACTCTTTCCACATGTCTCTCTGCCTTTCTCTTTCTGCCTCTCTCTCTCTCTCTCTCTCTCTTTGCCCCTCATACAGAGACACTGTTTGGTTTCAGAAAGAAAGGGAAAAAGAAAAGAGATGAGAGGCGATAATGCTCTCATATGTTTCATCCGTTTAGTAACTCAACTCTCCAAGTCTTTGTTTATCTTTGCGATGGCCAGGTATTGAACTCAGAACTTGTTGGTCAATTATTAGATTACTTCATCCAACGCTTTTGCCCACTGGCCAATGCGCCCTTGGGGCAATAAAGGCTTCAGTTCGAAATTCCAATTCCGAAGAAGGCCGTGCAACGGTTGAAACGCCGTGAATATGGCTTTCCACCTCACTCTTTCCCCCTCGCCTTTCTCTTTCTAACTCTCTTTCTTTCAACCTCTCCCTTTCCATCTCTCTCTCTTTCTACCTCTCTCTCTTTCCACCTCTGCCTCTTCCCACCTCTCTCTCTACTTCTCCTTGTTTCCTTTTTCCAACTTTTCTTTCCACTTCTCTCCCTCTTTCCACGTCTCCCTCTTTCTACCCCCTCCCTCTTTCCACCTCCCTCTTTCCACCTCTCCCTCTTTCCACCTCTCCCTCTTTCCTCCTCTCTATTTTAACCTCTATCTCTTTTCACCTATCTCTCTCTTTCAACTTCTTTCTTTCCATCTCTCTGCCTCTCTCTTTCCACGTCTCCCTCTTTCCATCTCTCTGCCTCTCTGTTTTACCACCTCTCCGTCTTCCTATCTCTCTCTTTCTACTTCTCCCGCTTTCTTCTTTTCAACTCTTTCTTTCCACCTCTCTCTTTTCACCTCTCCCTCATTCTACCTCTCCCTCTTTCCACCTCTCTTTTCCCCTCTCCCTCTTTCCACCTCTCTTCTTCTCCTTTCCCTCTTTCCACCTCCCTATTTTCACCTCTCTCCCTTTCCAACCCCCCTCTCTTCCTCCCTCTCTCTCTTTTAACCTCTTTCATTCCACCTCCCCCTCTTTCCACCTCTTGGTGATTGCGTGCGTGCATATTGATATTTCAACTTTTTTTAAACAAACAATATTTTAAATATTTAAAAAAATATTTTTGGTCATATTTAAAAGATAGTTTTAAGTGAGTATATTTTAAAAATATTATCTGGCATATTAAGAAGAAATTATCTGATTTAAAAAAATATTTAAGGGAATAAGATTTAAAAATACGAGTTGTTTATATACTAAGTATTTTTATTTTTACTTTCTTCACAGTTTTTTTTTTAATGTTGAAATCAATTTATCCCCACCAAAGTCAAATTGTACATATGGGTACTAGTTAGGACTTTATAGAGACTGTGAGGTATTATGGTGACTGTTGTAAGAATGGTGAGTAAGAATGTGTTGTTTTGCCGTATGGAATAATATAGTAGGTTTGGGTCAGTAATTGTGGCGAGCTAAGTTTAAGATAAGACAAATCGAAGACAAGTCTTCCCCTATGCCCCCCCCCCTTTTGATCTTGGGTTACGTTTGTGTATTTTTCCAAATAAATATTACTTTCCTTTTAGGTAATCCCGACCGCATGAATTTAAGCGTACTACTTGATTGGAAATACATCGTTTTGACGTTGAAATAGCTAGATGTAAACGTAAATCTTATTCTAATAGTTTTCCTCTTATTTCTCTCCCTGTGTAATACTTCCGGTTCCTAGATTACCTACAAACTTCAAAAATTTAAAATCAATCGCTATCTTCTGTCTTCTGGGTCATGCTCTATTCTCTCTCTACAATAACGTCGCCTCACATTTTTTAAAACTCTCAGCATCCCGTTTTGCGTCTTAGTGACATTATCGTCTTGACTGGGGTGAAATGGTTTTAAAGCAAATGCATATAAAAATACTTTTTTCTTTGGTATCGTAGATGGTGATTGGATGGAATTTTGGCCATTACTGTTGCGAATGTGTTGGTAAGTAATTTGTACTAAATGTACATATGCAAAAATAATTAAAAAAAAATATATATATATAATCTCTCTGAAGAGTCGGCCACGTGACTTGTGCATCGATACCCGATGCAGGTGATATAGATCTGATTGCATTAGCCGGGTAGAGTGAATTTAGACCGGACTGACTTTTCAAGAAATGTGAACTCTTTCTAAAAATAATCCAATAACTTTTTTCTTTGCATGCGGATACCATAAGTTATTTCTATCTATCTATCTATCTATCTATCTATCTATCTATCTATCTATCCCTCTATCTAAAACTGTTAATCTCTCCCACATATCTTTTTCAAGCTGTTTATCTACCTATCCATCTATCTTAGTATTTCCATATCTATCTATCTATCTATCTATCTATCTAGCTAGCTAGCTAGCTCAATAGCTAATAGCTAGCTAGATAACTCATTCTTTTCATATCTAACCCATGCATCTATCTATCTATCTATCTAAAAACTGTTAATCTCTCCCACATATCTTTTTCAAGCTGTTTATCTACCTATCCATCTATCTTAGCATTTCCATATCTATCTATCTATCTATCTATCTATCTATCTATCTATCTATCTATCTATCTATCTATCTCATTCTGTTCATATCTATCTATCTATCTATCTATCTATCTATCTATCTATCTATCTATCTATCTATCACTTCACATAAATTCGTTATGCAGGACGATTTCGTTAACTCTTCTTACCTTTTATCGTTGAATATTTTTTTGAACTTTCTCATCTCCATTTTTAATGATTTTTGTTTACCAAGGTGATTAAACATGTCGAACTCTTCTTCTTTCATTCAGTAGTGGCAGTTGTAAGTTTCTTTTTTTTTATTCTCAGAATCCTTCTGTAGAACCAAATTACTTTTGCCTCAAGTCACTTCTTCATGAAATTGTCCAGCTTACATAAGAGGATTTATGCTATATTTTTCTTTTTCTTAATATTTTTTTATCTTTTGCAAGGCATCTTTCTCGATTCAAACGATCCTTCGGATTTCAGTGCCACATATTCTGTCGTCTATCAAAACACTGAGCAATCAAATTTCTGTATGTAATTGATTATGGTGTCTCTAATTCAGAGCTCGCATCTTGGGCTTTTCCTTTACTGACAGCCATACATTCTTTCTTCTTACATTTGACCGTTAGTCCCTTCTTCGGACTTTCCTTTACTACTACGTGTAGCAAAAATAGCTGTCTTACTTTGAATCACGTTCTCATTGTTTTAAATAGGAGTAGAGATTTAATCCTATTTTTCTTCAATATGAATAGATATGTTTGTTTATCGTCCAGTTCACACTCCTCCACGGTTTTTGAACACATATTGTGGCTTATCCCCTGCTTCGTGCTTAGGATTAGGATTCTGGTTCCTTCTAACATCTCTGCATAAACTCTGAAATTTCATTTAACATTTATTTAGATTTTTCTTTCAAAAGGAGTAGATAGATTTGTCTATCATCTGGTCACTCTCCTCCCCGGTATTTTGAACTGGAATTGAAGCTTATCCATTGTTTCCTGTTTAGGATCGGGATTCCAGTTCCTTCTAAAGTCTTCTTCAACTCTATAATTCTAACATTTCCACCTAATCTCTGAAATCATATTTAATGTTTCTTTATGCGGCTGTCCATCACCCAAACGGCTTAAACTATTCTTGGGACATATTCAGAGGTGAAGAAAATAAAAAGTAAGAAGGAAACATGGAAAATATTCTTCATTATGGACACGAGTCCTGTAAACTGGACGAAGCTAATAAATACAAAACTGTCTGTTTTTATAAACATTGAACGAATAATAAAATTTAGAGATTTGCCTTAAAATGGCGGCCTGCTTTCTGACCGGGTCTGTTGATTAGTTAAAATTCGTCCAACTCACATTACATATTTATATCATTGACATTTCAATCTTACATCCAGAATGACATCTTTTTCATTTATCTGTTTATTCGCTTTTGTTTCTATTGCAGTTTGTTCACATGTGTTACAGTCTGTTGGTATCTATCTATCTATCTATCTATCTATCTATCTATCTATCTTTTTTGCTTTCTTTCTCCCCATTCATTTCTTCTTTTCCCCTTTCTTTTTTGCCATGCATGCATTCTTTCTTTCTTTCTTTCTTTCTTTCTTTCTTTCTTTCTTTCTTTCTTTCTTTCTTTCTTTCTTTCCATATCTATCTATCCATCTATCTATCTATCTATCTATCTATCTATCTATCTATCTAACTATCTATCTATGTCAGTCTATTCAGTATCTATCTGTCTATGTCTGTCTATTCTATCTATCTATCTATCTATCTATCTATCTATCTATCTATCTATCCTTTTTCTTTCTTTTTTGCTTTTTCCCCATTCATTCCTTCTTTAAATTTCTTTTTTGCCATGCATGCATTGTTTGTTTCTTTCTTTCCATATCTATCTATCTATTCATCTATCTATCTATCTATCTATCTATCTATCTATCTATCTATCTTTCTATGTCAGTCTATTCAGTATCTATCTGTCTCGGTCTGTTCATATCCTATTTATCTATCTATCTATCTATCTATCTATCTATCTATCTATCTATTATCTATCTTTTTCTTTCTTTTTTGCTTTCTTTCTCCCATTCATTCCTTCTTCCCCCTTTCTTTTTTGCCATGCATGCATTGTTTTCTTTCTTTTTCTTTCCATATTTATCTATCTATCTATCTATCTATCTATCTATCTATCTATCTATCTATTATCATGTCAGTCTATTCAGTATCTATCTGTCTCGGTCTGTTCATATCTATCTATCTATCTATCTATCTATCTATCTATCTATCTATCTATCTATTTATCTATCCTTTTTTTTTCTTTTTTTTGCTTTTTTCTCCCCATTCATTCCTTCTTTCCCCCTTTCTTTTTTTTGCCATGCATTTGCATTGTTTCTTTCTTTCTTTCCATATCATTCATTCATCTATCTATCTATCTATCTATCTATCTATCTATCTATCTATCTATCTATCTATCTATGTCAGTCTATTCAGTATCTATCTGTCTCGGTCTGTTCATATCTATCTATCTATCTATCTATCCTATCTATCTATCTATCTATCTATCTATCTATCTATCTATCTATCCTTTTTTCTTTCTTTTTTGCTTTCTTTCTCCCCATTCATTCCTTCTTTCCCCCTTTCTTTTTTGCCATGCATGCATTGTTTCTTTCTTTCTTTCCATATCTATCTATCTATCTATCTATCTATCTATCTATCTATCTATCTATCTATCTATCTATCTATCTATCTATGTCAGTCTATTCAGTATCTATCTGTCTCGGTCTGTTCATATCTATCTATCTATCTATCTATCTATCTATCTATCTATCTATCTATCTATCTATCTATCTATCTATCTATCCTTTTTCTTCTTTTTTTTCTTTCTTTCTCCCCATTCATTCCTTCTTTTTCCCTTTTTTTTTGCCATGCATGCATTGTTTCTTTCTTTTTCCATATCTATTCTATCTATCTATCTATCTATCTATCTATCTATCTATCTATGTCAGTCTATTCAGTATCTATCTGTCTCGGTCTGTTCATATCTATCTATCTATCTATCTATCTATCTATCTATCTATCTATCTATCTATCTATCTATCTTTTTTCTTTCTTTTTTGCTTTCTTTCTCCCCATTCATTCCTTCTTTCCCCCTTTCTTTTTTGCCATGCATGCATTGTTTCTTTCTTTCTTTCCATATCTATCTATCTATCTATCTATCTATCTATCTATCTATCTATCTATCCTTTTTTCTTTCTTTTTTGCTTTCTTTCTCCCCATTCATTTCTTCTTTCCCCGCTTACTTTTTTGCCATGCATTCTTTCTTTCTTTCTTTTTCTTTCTTTCTTTCTTTCTTTCTTTCTTTCTTTCTTTCTCTATCTATCTGTCTGTCTATCTATCCTATTTCCTTTTTTCTTTTTTTTTGATTCCTTTCTTTCTTTAATGTCTCTTCATTCATTTCTTCATTCCCTTTTGTATTTTTCCCTACATACTTTGTTTATTTTTTCTTTCTTTCTTTATTTAACGTCTTCTCATTCGGTTCGCTATTTCTCTCTTTCTAATTAGCAACGCTTTCTTTCTTTCTTTCTTTCTTTCTTTCTTTCTTTCTTTCTTTCTTTCTTCACAGTCCCCTTATTCATTTTTCCATCCCTTTGCTTTCTATTGTACCATTTCTTTCTTTCTTTCTTTCTTTCTTTCTTTCTTTCTTTCTTTCTTTCTTTCTTTTCTTTATCTATCTATCTATCTATCTATCTATCTATCTATCTATCTACTCAGCATTCGTGATTTTAATAAAACATTGGCTTTAACAAGGGTACACAATATTTGTGCTACAGTACTATGAAAAAATTGATTATGTAAAAGGCCTGTATTTCTAAGCTACTGTAAATTTTATTTTCAAATTAATCGACAAGATTTTTGCCCATCCTAAATACACTCCTTGCGCTCCGCTCAGAAGGTTAGGACATCAGCAGCGAAGAAGATAATTTTACTTGAAATGATTTTTAACTAACATATGCCCTTAGAAAATGTTTCCTTCAACACTGAATTTACGCAATTACCGAAGCAGAAATTGAAAATAAAATCCGATGAGGGAAAAAAAAAAGTACTGTGAGAAAACATGAAATAAGAAACAAATATTTTTCTTCTTCTATGTGCTGTGCGACTTTAGGACGTTGCCGATCATGACTCTCCACAATTTCCTGTTCCTTGTAGCTCTTAATAAATTTTGTCTTTCTCTTATCTCTCCTAAACCATGTTCTGTCATGCATTTACTCAAGCTCGCTAGGTAAGTTATGAATTGATTTCCTCTTGCCTTCGATCTGTCCTGTGTGTATCAAATTTTCCAAACCCTCTTTCCTCATTATGTGCTAAGTCAACTGCATCTTATTTTACTACTTATTTTTTGCGCCGTATTTTCAAAATCTTCATTTACAAAAGATCAATAGGTAGCTTAGGCGTTGTCTTCCATCTTGTCCTGTGAGTATCAAATATTCCAAGCTCTCTTTCCTCATTATGTGCCCTAGAAATTTCACCTATTTTTTTATACTGTTAAGAATACGTGTTCATTTTGTTTCCATTTTCTCTAACACTTTGTCGTTGCTCAAATATTAGGTCCATGGTATACTCAGCATCAGGTTTCTGTTGCTTCAAGCCTCTTCTTCATCTGTGAGGAGATTGTCCAGCATTCTCTGTTATATAGGAGGACTGATATTACATAATTCTGTACTCTTTTCTTTGTTTCTCTTGCTTCAAGTCTCATCTTCATCTGTGAGGCGATTGTCTAGCATTCAGTACCATATAGGAGGACTGATATTACATAACTGTTCAGTACTCTTTTCTTTGTTTCTGTTGCTTCAAGTCTCATCTTCATCTGTGAGGAGATTGTCTAGCATTCAGTACCGTATAGGAGGACTTATATTACATAACTGTTCAGTACTCTTTTCTTTGTTTCTCCTTCAAGTCTCTTCTTCATCTGTGAGGAGATTGTCCAGCATCTAGTATCATAAACGGGTACTGATATTTGTTACTTGAATTAAATAAATAGCCGAGGAAACGTAGAGTACAAGTATTAATCGGTG